TTCACCCAGACTCTGGCTGGCTCAGCCTGCCCTGGGGGTGAGGTCGGTGCGGCTTGTGGTAGCAGAGTAGAACGCCAGTCCCTACGCTTGCCTCAGCTTGCCTCAGCAGGTACTTTAGATTGCTGAGCTATCTTGCCAGCCCCTAGGAGGATTTATCTCAGATTAGGAAATGGACTTTATTAATCTGGGACTCGGGAGCTTTTAAACAGTTCCAAAAGGCATGAGCCCTAAGCTTCACGAACTGGGATTGCAGAAGGGTATCTTGTCTGGAGCCCAGGGGTGTGCTTCAGAAACATCTGGGATAAGCGTCTTAGCCTTACACTTGTGGCTGAGAAGCCCGGGTGGAAACCCAGGCCCTTCACTCGCTTCCCTGGGCCTCAGGGCGGATGCCTCTCATGGTGTGGAGGAGCCTGAGGAGGCAGCAGGAACAGAGTGCTAGGCGCAGGGTGGGAGGGAAAAGCCGCAGAGCATGATGCTGTACGCCTGCCATTCCAGCTTTAGGGAGGCTGAGGCAGGAGGAGTGGGGCAAATTTGAGGTCAGCCCAGGCCACCTAGTGCGTTCAAGGCCAGCCTGAATTACTTAGTGAGACCCTGTCTCAAAAACCAAACAGACCAACAAAAGAACTGGCCGCTGTTGGCCAGAGCGCTGACCCTTTCCTGCCAGAACTGGGCAGGGCAGGTGGAGGCGAGGGGTGCAGTGAGTGCCCACAGGGGTGGGTGTTCACAGCAGCTCCTTCCTCAGCTAGGTCTTTTGCAGCTCTGTGATTGTTGCAGCCAAGAATTGTGTCGCACAGCCACATGCTGAAATGAACTATCCACAGTTAGTGTCACCTTGTGCCAGTGACACGAGGTGGCTCGTGGGGCAGTGTGGATGTGCGGAGGGCTTTGGGAGGGTGGATTTTACATTGGATCTGACAGGTGGGTGTGGGGAGGAGAGCAGCCCTGGCCTGCCCATGTCATGTACTCAGCTCTGCCCTCCTATTTGCTTTGTAGTAAGGAAGAGCTGCTGTCCCACGGCGGGGGGGGGGGGGGGGTGCCGTGAGAGAGTGTGGCCAGCATGGCCGGGGTGCGTCTGGTCCCTGTCAGTAGAGTGCTCTCTCCGCTGCTCTTGTCAGCACTGCTCAGCTCATAAAGCCTTCCCCGTGGATGGCCTCATCTGAGCATCCTGACAAAGGCGCTGGTACCAGACCATTCTGCCTGTGTTCAGGCTGGCCGGCCGGGCGGGAGCTTTGGCAGCGTGCTGCGTCGCAACCCTGTGCTGCTGGGCAGGCTGCCTGCCCTGTGAGCCTCGGGGCTCACCGAAGGGTGTAGCAGGCACGGAGTAGTGTAGAATTACAGGTGGCTGGTGCCTTGGCCCGGGGTCGCCCACACTGGGTACTGGGTCTTGCTCGTGTATGCTCGGTGGGGCCCATATTTAGGCTGTGACGCGATCAAGGTGCTGTCTGGCCAGTCAGATGATAGGCTTGAACATGGAAGTGGGCTGTCACATCCCCTCAGTAGAGCAAACGCTCACATGCTTCTGTGCAGGCGACATCATGCTGAGGCCCCTCCTTACTCTGTTCACGTGCCTGTGGGGTCCTACACGGTTTCAGGCCTGTGCACTTGGTGTCAGTGTTTTTGGTGTTGCAGACCCTGTTGATGCAGTAGAAAGCTGTAGTCCTTTTTCACTTTCCCCAAGAAAAATCTTTTGTTATATTGAACTACTTCAAATTAAATTATAATCATAAAGTTCTAAATACTGCGTTATCCTTTGCCAAAAAATATACGTTCCCATACATTCCTCATTAAATATTATTTAAAAAATACTATCTTAATATGATCTAATACTCATTCTATTCTTAAATTTCCCCCTCTTCTCTGTTATCCGCTCAGCCTGCCTTGGTGGTGGGGCTGGCACAGCATGTGGTGCTGGGGATTGAACCACTGTCCCTGCTTGCCTAAGTTTGCCTGACCAGGTGCTCTAGACTGCTGAGCTCTCTTGCTGGCCTTTAAATTTCTCTTGATAGGCCCCAATTTTTATGGCTCTTTTAAAAGCCAGGATGTAGCCAAGGTTTATCTTTTGTATTTGATTTTTTTTATGATGGTGATTTAAAAAACCAGGCACATTTTAGTGAGGAAGTTCCCACATTCTGGGCTTACCTGCTGTTTTCTCATTGTGTGGTTTCACTCTTCTATCAACAGTTTCTCATGGTGGCAGACGCCAGTGTTCCTTTAAAATATGATAATCCTATTTTTATTTCTGGAAACTGGAAGTTAAATCTAAATATTTGATTAGATACTAACATTTTTGCAAGAAAACTCCATCAGTGAGGTTGTAGTTCACACAGTGCCTCATCAGAAAGTGTGTGCTGGTGTGCCCCATGAGTGAGCAACAGCGGTCCAGTCCTCGGTTCAGGTTGTGGTTTCCCTGGCACCACAGGGCCCACCCTGTCCA